CCAGAGACGGCGTAAACTGGCATATGCGAAACGAGCCTTCTGTATCTGTGCTGAGATTTCGTCAGCGATAAACCCGTTGGCACTGACTGATGCAACTTCCCAAATAAGTGAAGCGGTCAACGTGCTCTACCACTTCACTTCCTATTTCTACGCCAGTCGCGCAGCATCATCTTATATTTGACTGACAGCAGCGAATCACGCTCGAAGATTGCCTCTCCTTAAGGTATTCAGAAGATTCTGCATTTTATTAGAGTCTTCATTTAGTAGGGAGGACTATATCATCTGCATATTCTAAGTCAACGAGATTACTCCCTCCCTGATAACAAGTCAGTCCCTGAGTCGCTAAAGTCAGTTAGGGTTAAGTCCATTAGTACATCTATGCTGAAATTGAATAGAAACGGAGATAGTTAGCCTAACAATCCATAAGAAAGAATCTGAACTCTGTGATAGCAAAATGTTTGCTCTTCAGCCTGTTTTATCATAATCCAGAGATGAATATAAGAATAAAAAGTTCAGTGAAGAGTCTCTTTTCGGCGGTGAATTGATTCAGTTATCTGTACAGTCTCAATTATACATAATTATTTTCAGAGAAGCGGGGCAACCGTACAATTTTGTAGCTTTTTAGACAAAAAACTATTGAAATTCAAATACAATCCCTTCCATGTACTGTTTGAAATTAAGGCATCATTATTACTAATATATATAAACACAGTGAGAAGAATTCACAGATAAGAATAAGTAATTTCAGTCATTCGCGGTGCACGAGAGGTGACTTTCATAGCCCAGTGACCTATTAGGTATTAGTATGGTGTTTGAAGCGACAGCTTCGAATTTCAATGAAAACACTGTCACTCAGTACGTAGAAACATATCCAACTAATGTGTTCCAGATCGGAGGAAATGTGCATTAGGGATTCTGGCCTCACTTCATGGAGAGTCTAGTATCTATCGAAATAAAGCTGGTCACTTCATTTCAAATATTTCGACAGAAATCTACAAATATGAATCATATAACCAGACGAAATTTGCTTTGATCAGGGAATATTCAATTTTGTCTGTTTTCCTTTTCGCAATAAAGATCTCTCTAATTACCGCGTTTTTGTGTGTTATCCTCATTCATTTCATAATTACGCTGACAATAAAACTTTGTTCAATTTACTTCCGCCGCTTTGTATTATTGTAAAATTCTAATACATATACAAATGTATTTTTCTTTGAAGTTTTGATCTGATGACTGTTTAACCGATTATTTCGACAATTATGTCATTTTTATCATATTTTATCGTCATATTATCTGTAATGTCTATTGATATAATTATTATTATAACTATAAACGGTTGCGGATATCAAATTTATGTTAATATCCCCACTGATTAGTGGCCTTGATCGGTTCATATCTTATAATTAAGTGCAAGACTACAGATACACTGATCGATTCCTGTCCAATGACCAATCAGTATAAACATTACAGAAGTATATGAGGTGATTCTTGAAGTCGAACAGTTCATTCGTAATCTTTTGTGACTACAGCTGTGGTTGAAATCAGTTAGAATACCTAATGAGGATATGAGTTTCTTCAAGGTTGTGTATACGCCTTGCTGACAAGTACTGGTGAGCACAGTACCCAAGGTTTTAGGCTCCCTGTTGATTAACCTAATAACAGTCTGATAGAGTAACAAAACTATGACATCCAACCTTTGCTAATAATGTGGCCATCATAAAGTGTAATTGCCATCTTATTATGTTTTTTCTACGCGATATTCCCGATTATTACACTTCTTTTCTTATTCCTTTACGTTCCCAGTGGAACATAGAGCGTCTTCAAGCTACAGCCTTGAAGTTTCTGTGGCAGTGGTGATTATTTTTACAGGATTGAGTTGCTAGCCTCATGCCCCCCCTAACCTTCTCCCTTCACCAGTCTTATTACTGGCTTAGCGAGGTAAGCGAGGAATGCGTCGTGGCCGCGGATTCAGTCCTAGACCACATGAGGTGTGGTCGGCAAGCACTCAATCGCTGTGCCACCGATGCACGATTATAACACTTAGTAATTTTAATAATTTAAACTTTGGACAAAAATAATTCTGAAGCTTTCTCACACATTTACAACATATACACGAATGTACAGTTGTCTGATTGATAATTGGCTGCAAGCGTCTTTTTAATAATTCCTATTATCCAATGTATACATTCTATGAATCGTCTTTTTTGTGTGTAGTAGAGTATAGGCATATAGGAACACATCTCCTTTTTGTACTATGTTCTCTGTAATCTGCTTTAACCTAACTTCACGATAACCCATGATCTGCCTTCATTTCATCCTTAGTCGATCTTCTGCATAACACTCTTAGACAGACTTCTAATTCATCGTTTCCCATTAGTATTTCACTCTAATGGCTTGTTTTAAAAAATTTTAAAAACCCGCCTTTTTAAAAACAACAAACTTTAATTCATTTAAAGAACATTTATTTATAATTTATATATATTCATTATTCATAAAAGCCAGTTTTTGTCATTTTTGTTTCTAAAAAAGAGAAGAGAGAAGTAAACTGTATTTGTTTACATGAATATATATATATATATATATATATATATGTATATATATCTTAGGTACTGTAATAACACAAATTGATTAAAAAGATATCGAAAAGGTTTGGTTTGAGTCATTGCGTAGAATAAAATAACACAAAGAGATAGAGAGAGAGCGATTGCTTTCTATCAGAATTTATCCAAAATTACCCAAGAGTTTTATTCTTTGTTTTGTTTGAATTATGTATATATATATATATATATATATATATATATGAATAATATTGTATTATGTATATCGCTTATAGTGCTAATTAAACAAAAAAATGTAATACATAAGAAGAAAGAGAAGAAGCAGAGAAAAATAAAAGTGGTGTTCAATCAACTTCTTTTTTGTTTAGCCAGATTAATATCGACTACCGCCTAATTCAAATTGCAGTCCAGTTGAAATCATCAATAAAAAGTTGTCACCGTGTGTGTGTGTGTGTGCATGTGCGTGAACTTCTGAGTTACAGTTAGTCAACGAATGTACGTAAGACATTTCACTAACTCTACTAGAGAATGTAGAAATTAGTAATATAAAATAAGAGAAGAATAAATGGGCCAAAAAGGTGTTGTTTCTTAGATTGATCTCCCCCCGCCACACACGGACATAGGCATGAGTGTGTGTGTGCACATTTGTGCCACATTCAAAGAACAAGTTTAACTTCCAATATAAAGTACTAATTTAAAGAAACGCGAGCGCGCGCGCACACACACACACGCAGAAGTCTGAATATAACTATTTGGAATTGAAACGATACTGGAATAATATATATATATATGTTGAAAACATATACAATACAACGTTTTGGTTTGCCAGCTGGCTCTTCTCACCTCCCTTCTAAGGAATTCCAGATTTCTGTGGCTTTTACACTAAACGTAAGATACAATCATTATTAAATAGTAATAATACCAACGAAAAGAATAGTGTCCATAATAATAATAATAGTATCATAAGTATTATTATTTTTTTTATTATTGACAATTCCAATAAAAGTATAGAGTACTAATTAAATTCTAAACTAATAAGAATACACTTTTCAATATTGTATTGAACATTGAACATAGCATATTCTTCACGTATAATCTGGATTGAATATTCAATATTTATTTGACAGAAAGGATTTCATTAAAATATATAAATTATTTTATCTTATAAATAGTTATCATCTTTTTCTTTAAAATAGAGACATTATTATTATTGTTCGTAAATCCCGCTCAAATATATATACGCGCGGTTGTTTTAATTGATGATATCATTGGGGAGATGAAACGAATAAACAAAGAGGCGGAAAGAAGAAACCATGAATATTCTATCATAAAATAAAAGGGAGAGAGAGAGAGAGAGGGCGGATAAATAAATCCTAGAAATAAAACGAGAATAAGAATACTTTCACTCTCCACTCCCCATCCCGAAAAAAAAGATAACAAATACCACCAACAATGACAACAAAAAAAAAACAAATAAATAAATAAAATGAGATGAAAACAGTGTGAAAAAATCACAACACAGGACCAGCCTGTTAGATATTAGTTAATCCGATCAGTACAATAATTCTGTATAGCTTATTGTTACAAAAAGTATTTTAAATACAGATATCATGAGGTCAAAGAAAACAAAAATAATAACTGGTTTAAGATAGAAGTTTTGTTTGATGGAATGAGTAAATGCGTCAATTTTCTTTTTTTTTACTAGATGAAACCGCTTACTTCGAAATTCAATGTTTCAATGTTGTATATGTAGATATACATATATATATATATTGTTCGTTTAAATCATTTAAAATGAAGGAAACACGGAAAAACATTACTAACTAACTAATCCTCAAGATATTTCTTCCTCAGCTCCTTTCGCCACCCATCCACCCACAAAACCTGTACTTTTTCTTTCTCTCTCTTTCGCTGGGGAACTTGTCAATTAGTTTCTTTCAATTGTTCTCCTTTGCTCTTTGCATAACCTTTTTCCCTAATACTCATAACATACATCAGAAAAAAAGGTATGTACACAGGTTTTGAACAAAACAAAAAGAAACGAAAACACCAAACAAACAAATAAACACAAACATTCACGGTTTCATTGAAACACTGAAAATTTCAAAAGCTTTGGATAGTTAGTAATTTATATCAATATTTAATAATAATAGTAATAATAATATTATTGTTATCATCATCATTATAAACATGTGTAGGTGTACTCTTGAATTTTGGTTTGTGTGTGTGTAGCATAACCTAAAGTCAATCTGAAGAAAGAATAAATAGGGAGAAACGAAGAAGAGGAGAATCAAGACTGGAGGTTTTTTCTCTCTCTCTCTCATCTGTCGTTGGTGTTGTTGTCAGTGAGATATCCTTGTAACTATGAAGCTTGAAGGATTCTGTTTTTTATTGCACAGAATTATGAAATGAACTAGTTGTATTGTGTTCGGCAAGTTGTTGTCAAGTTTGTGCATCTTTAGCTTCTTGTAGCATATCTTTATAAAGTTTTGAATTAATAAATCGTGGATATGAATCTCTATGCATTAATGTATAAATTTGTAATTGAGCTTCATCAAATATATGCGGTGTTGGTTCAATCATATTGGCATTGATGATTTCACGTACACGTGAGTCTAAACTAACCTATAAGAAATAGAGTAAAAAAAAAGGGGAGAATTTTTCTATGTATTTCGATGAAGGGAATTTATAATGATCAAAGCCTTTAATACTCATTATTATTATTGTTATCCATGATATCCATGCTGAAAATTCCATACTTGTACCAAAAATACAGTGTGGAATCAAGCTGTAAATCAAAAAAAAAATTAAAAAAGTTATTATACATTGGACTTGTATGAATTTTATACAAAGTAGTGACGATTGTCATGTGTCTAGTCATTTGCTTTAGTCGCTAGGTTGATTCACCATTGCAGTGCACTTTTGAAATTCATATTAGATGGTTTGAAGGTGACTAACATCAAACCCTGTACTTAAGTTTCATGCTTGCTTCAGCTTGTCAGTGAAGCATATCAGTAACCTCGAAGGAATTGATGTCACCTCTGAGACTGTAACTCATGTCATGCTATTCTCCAGACAGAGATGTTACCTTTCTATAGTTTGGTTTGTAAGCGTTAGTTTTGTTTTTGCCAGTTGATCATGGATTGATATCAGTTACAGAAGCGTTGAAAACCAGCACCGGAATACTGGACAGCTTCTCTTTCATCCTAGTTTGGGAATCATAAGGCAGTACGCACCCACCACCAGGGTTCGAACCCAGGATGAAACAGCTGTCCAGTACTCCGGTGCTGGTTTTCAATGGTTCTCTAACTGATATCAATCCGTGATCAACTTGTAAAACGAGATATTACCGCCGATTTATTAAGGCTTATTATACATATATTAAACAACTGTATTGGAAAGAAATGCGATTTTTGGCTAATATGAAGTTGCCAACTGAATTGACATTGAGTAATTTTTAGCATTCCACTTACTGTGTGCATACTTACTGGGGTAACTTTATGCCCTTACGATAATTTATCAAGTTGGAAGTAGTGACCGGTGGGTCCACTGTATCAAATGTGAGTTGGACGATGACTGACAGCATAAGTTGGGAGTTGCGGTACAATCACCAACTGACAGGAGTAAGAATTTATGGCTTAAATAATCAATGCACCAGTCTGTAAACCTGATGGTCCTAGGTTCGAACCGTTGGTTCCTGCTGAAGGTTGTCAAACCACAATAAAACATCTGACCATAGCTCCCGGGTTATCAGTGCTTATGTAATTCATATCGAGTTACTCAAAAAAATTTTTTTTTGATTACAGCTTTATTCCACACCGTATTTTTGGTACAATTATGGAATTTTCAGCATGGATATCGGTAGCCCAAATTTCGCAGGCCAACCATAGATATCAGGTGTGCGTCAGCGTGGGCTTGAACCCCGGACCATGTGCATGGTCGGCGAGAGTCCTAACCGCTGTGCCACCGACGCACAGATGAATCGCATATCTGACAAGTGTTACCTAACAGATCTCCACCGGCTCATAGTTTAAGAACAACAAATGTAATGAACACAGTAATAAAATTAGACGGTAATATCAGCCCTACTGGGCTGGTTGGTAATAAAATTTCAGTAAAGATATCGACTGCTCACTCAATATTTACTAACTTATTTCATTCCCAAGCTAGTCAAGATATCACCATTTAATGAAATGATCAATAAGTCCTGCTGTAATGAGCTTTATTATATCACTAAAGGTAGAAGACATGGGTGTAAAGAATCCAAGATTAATCAGAATAAGACGCGTCATCAATCCATGGAGCTTTTGTCTGTTTATGGGATTTATATCAGAAGGTGTAGACTGCGTTTTGTACTCCTCAAACTGTTATGGTTCAATAGTTTATGAAATTGAGGAAAAATAGTTAAAACTGTTAGAAATACATTTCTTTTTTAAAAGTCATTAATACTCACAGCTAAATCTGTGAATGTTTCAATCAATATATTACCTATTATCCATTGAACAATAGACTATGTTTTGAGGATATTCTGACATTAGTCTTGGTGGTACACCTTCACTCCTAAGTTTTTGGTTTATCTTGTGCATATGTTTGCCTCAACAGAAGCTATTCTTTTATTATTATCATTATTAGGGCTTCAAAAATACCCTCGCATTTTGTCCTATTCTTTGCAGTATTCTTTAGCTGCGCCTATGGTTATCCATAATCTGTCGTCTCCTTCTCACACCACCTCCTCCATGTTACCCTCGAACGTCTCACTCGTCCTTTCCTATTCTGGTTCCCCTTCGAGCTATGAGCTGGTGCACTATGTCAACACCGGTCTCCTTAGCGCATTTCTAGACCATCTCCACTTTTTTTGGAGTGTTTGTTGAGCAATAAGTTCTCGTTTGTTTCGTTTTGAAAGTTTTTTGTTGCTAATTTTTTCTGACTAGTATGCAGCCAGTGAAGGCATCTGGAGATAAAAGTCTGCAACCTGATACAAAAACGCTTTTCACGATGAGTTTGCCAAGTTTCTGACCCATATAGAAGAGGCGAACGACTCAACACTGATGTTGAAAGTTGAAATTCACAGTGATGAAGATGTTACCTTGCTTTTCATATTCTGGTTTCGAAATCCCAATTAGTGCTGTCCCCTATGGTCGAGACAATGATGCCTAGCCAGATAACTGGAGGAAGTGACATCTATCAAATTTATTCCCTTGATATTGATTGGTGCTTGTTGTTATAGGTCGATGGTTACCTCCATCACCTATGTCTTCTCGGTGTTCACTTGAAATCCTACCTTAGCCAATTCTTGAAAAGTTTATTGGTCCTTGCCCGTTCTTTTAATCAACATAAAAAATTTCGGTTTTACACAAGAACGCACCTTAAAAAATGATTGAATTCGTCATTTACAAGTTAAACACAACAAGTCACGAGCTCATCTGAGTCTAATCCTGAAATTGAAATATTTTAATTTCAATATACCATCTCTTTGTTACGATAAATGGTGATCAAGAAAGCAAGTTTATATTTCACAATATTATACACAACTAAGTGGTTGATAAAGTAGTCGAATAGCACGCTGTCCAATCAGTAGGATTCCTTACCCATAGTGAAGTGATCTAAAAACCAGTTGGTCTTTCCACTCATTTGAATCCATGTTAGTCAGTGGTGCACCTGGAACGTCTCATCTCAAAGAATGTAACTGGTTAAAGCCATCGAATTCATCATATTCGAGTGAAACAATTCAATAAATTCCACATTTTAAGGAATTGTGTTCAATTAATTTTTGAACTAACTATTTATTATATTGCTATATAATGTTATTCAAGTTAAAAAGTGGTGTGGAGTCGATTAATCCGAGGTGGCAGGTCATCGAACACCCCAAGGAGTTAGAAATTACAAGCCATTAGATACATGCTATAGTATTTACTGAGTGAGTCGAATATTCCGAAAGTTTAACATTTTACATTTTGCCACTGGTTCACTAGACTGCTTCAAGTTCGTGACAGAAGACACAATGAATTCTCAAGTATTGACTTCTACAGGTTTGATTGATTGGTTACAGGATTTCATCATAAACTGACATTGGTTAGAGAACCATTGGAAAACCTACCAGGGAGTACTGGACAGCCAACTGTTTCGCATCAACCTAGTTTGGGTCTCTTCATCAGTACGCACCCATCAGGGTTTGAACCCAGGGCCATTGGCTAGATCTCAAAGGATTAATGGTCTACGAGCTAGCTTGTCTTATAGTCAGAAAGCCTTTGCTTCGGACCCTGGTGTGGTGGGTGCGTACTGGTGAAGAGTCCCAGACTAGGGCTGTAACCAACACAATGAATTCGTTCAGTCAGTCAGTCAGTTAGTTCTCCAACAGATTCATCTATCTTTCATCCAACATATAAAGACACAAAACAGACTATTTCACATAATTCTTATCAATGTGAACAGAATTTCACATTCACTAAAAAAAAATCTATACACAAGGCTTTTTCTCATCTGTTGTTGTGTACAGATGCTGCTTTTGCTACTGATGATGATGATGATGAAGATGACAGATAGCAAAAAGCAGAAAAACACATGAAAACTCTTTTCCCTTTCAATTGTTCTTTAAGATGATAAGAGATTTTAAAAAAGGGTTATAAAATGATATGTAACCTGGATACAGGCAATACTGAATAACAAATATATATGCATATAGGTTACTTATAAACTGGAAGAAGACGAAAAATATGAGATGAGATGAAATGAGATGAAGAGAATTAGTGGAAATGTTTTCATCATAGCAGTTGTGTGATAGACGCACACTGAAGCAGTAAACTTATATCTACTTTAGTAGCATATATATATATATATATATATATATATATGTACACGTATATATTCATGAATATGTTAGCGTAGTAAGATTCATCTGAAAATAATTATTGAAGGAGAGAGGAGTAGCAGGGGAGGAGACGAAGAAAGCAACTGTAAAACACTGTGCTAATTACTAGATGGAATTTGCATCTTTCATTCCTGTTTAATATATAGTTTTCTTTCGTTCCTTCTTTCTTTCATTTAGTTTTCCATTAACAAGATCAGTCATACTATGTGTAAGAATGTTTTACGTTAATAAAACTGGGAAAAAGCCCACCTTCTAGATAGCTAGCTAGCTAACTAAATAAATAACTAACTAAGTAAATAAGTAATTACAATATTATATATTCATTTCATCAACTTGATTGTTTAATGATTTCATCAGTTAATAAACTTGAACAAGGTGAGTACTTCTTAACAGACAGACAGATAGATAGACGAGTAGACGGATGGATGGATGGATAGATAGATAGATAGATAGAACAAAGAGACAGCAATATTAATGAAGCTCTTGTTGAAAAAGAAAACACACTAAGGATTATCAGACAAACAGTTTGTTCTCAGATGTATATGACTTTCACAGATGAAATCATTGTCATTATATTATTATTGTTCCCTTGGGTTCCTAGTGGAACACAGAGCTACAACTGCACGTCTCCACTTGCCACTTCTGTCTTCCTTCTACTGTACTTTTCACCTGCATCCATGTTAGTTAGTCCATACTCTTTCAACTTCTCTCTCTCTCTCTCTCTTCACACGATCTCCTCCATATCACCCTTGCACTG